CGGAATGACGCGAGTTGGCGGACAGTGCTGCCGTTAAGGAGCGATAATCCTAAAAAAGTCATACGATGGAATCACCCGTCAGCGGCTAGAAATTGAACTGGAAAGGAGAGACTGATGGCCAAATTTTGTTAGCACATCAACATGAACATGAGTAGCACTCAACAAGTCCCGGTTCTAGGTATCGTTGTTCTATAAATCAAAGATTGTTCCGATTCTGTGCACAGACACCTATACAACGCACAGATATGACAGTCGGATACTTACGGGATTCATGTGTATCTTTGAGGCTATCGTACTATTGTACCTTGACGTCAATTTTCTATTTATAATTATTACAAGAAGCATGGATTAGCTCTGGACCATAAAAGGGAACACGAAATTAATGAAGTTGACCGTTCGCCGAACATTTTCGCCGGAGTTTCCATGATTCTGCAGAAAGTAACGTACTCTATCTAAGAGGGCAGTTACAACGGATGATAGCATTACATAAGCGAAGTACTGTGACGGTCGATTAAAAATAGGTAGAAAAAAATTGGGTTCGATTGATGTTTATAAATCAGTGCGGCGACCAACGACGTTTGCGATGACGGCACGGTTTGTCTACAATTGTTTGCCAGAAAACATTCGGAATCAACTGCACGGTCTCTTAAAGCAAACAAGTAAACGATGGAACAGCTTTGCTTTACAAGTCTATCTCGTAATTTTTATTGAACGGACTGCTTTTCTAGATAACAAACCATTAAGAAGTCGTCACTTCGACCATATCGTCACCTCTAGAAACGCTGTGTTTTCCCAATTCAATTGTAACTTGAATAGCTGAACGGAACTTTCGGTCGATTTATCTGTATAATCGAACCGTCGTCATGGCGTCATGTAAGTTGTGGCGATGTATTTCTGTTCTTTTTTAATTTGAAATTATTAAAGTTTCATTGTTTACGTAACTATGCTTATTTCTGATAGTTGCACAAAATATAGAATTCCGCCTTTAGCTCTGCCATTGATAACAACCTTCAAATACGATCAGGGTTGGAAAATTAGATTCGGATCTCATAGAACTAATTCGGTTTTAAATTTGCCTCATTTTAAGAAACAGTTCTATTGCCAATTGCTCAAAAACGTTCGCTGCCGAGTTAGTCTCTGTCTGTTGTATATATAAAAAATCCGCCATGGTGATTATGTACGTAGAGAAGAGTGGCAATCAACAATTTAATTGCCCTCAGGCAAGTGGAATTTCCTTTAGCTCTCATTGTTTAACATGCTACTTATTCACAGAGCACATAACGCTCTGGGCCCATAGAGTTGTTGACTATTCCGTCGTATGGGATTGCGTGCGTAGTGCGCTCTGCACAACGTCAGTCTTCGTCGTCGCCCGGGTCGCTCGTATTCGGCAAAGCCCAGAGAATAGATGTTTATTAATTCCGGATTTCTGTTTATTTTGCGCTTTATTAGCAGCAATCTTTCAGAAGGCACTGTTCGAAATTGTTTGCAATTCTATGTAAACTTACTTTCAAGCTCACCCGCTCATTGACTCGACTTCATAAATTTAGCTGAAATCAAACGACGTTATACCCAAGCGAATTCTCGTATCACCGAGTCGTGGTAGACAGTCTTACGCTACACAAACACGACAAAACACTCCTTTCATGGGCTTCTCGACCCAGTTCTACAGTATTCAGATTGAACAAAGATAGTCGATTATCCAATCGGAGCAGCGTTCCGTATTGGATACAAGTCACTTTCCTAATTAGTATTTCCGTTAAAGTCTTCATGTGCCGTTTTCTCTATTCGGGCTTGTCAATTCTAGCTGTTGCTAGTTAGCAGATGTTGTTATAGGCTATGATCGACCGAGTGGCATCTGACGATCAGGGTGAGGAACGTGTGATTACAATAGCTCGTATCATTTGTTGTAGCTTTCGGCGTTCATTTGGGATAGAAGCAAACGGACTTTCGCCGACTGTCGACCTGCTACTGTCGCGCGATTTGTTGGTGGCTGCTGGGTTGGAGGTGGAAACCCGCAGCTAGATGTTCATATCTTAACGGTGATCGCGACCTCGGCTATACGGCCTTGCTGTGCTAACGAAGCGCGTCATTTTTGCCAAGTGCAAGTCATCGACGTTTTGGACAACGGGACCACATATCGGCTAAGCGGCTACCTCGCCGAAGCCTCGCCCGGATCGGAGCCGCTACGAATGCAGCTACAATAGATCTGCAAGGGTTTGCTTTATCATCTATGGCGAGACAGCAGTTACATTACTGCAGTCATAACAAGGCAGCATGCGGCCAGGTGTGGACGCTAAGTCATATGAGAGAACAGTGCGGGTGAGTCGTGTTTAGAAAAATACGATATCCATGCTGTCACGTGCAAAAGGTATTGCGACCGTCTATCAGAGTAGAGACGAAGTTCTTGAAGGCATACGTACTATAACGTGTGACCAGCTCGTTCTAAATCGAAAATGCATGCAGTCGTTAACAAGATTTAGGTGACGAGAGCGAGCTTCAAGGGTGCCACCAATGAAACGTACGGATATACTACATTCAGCAAACGTTCAACGCCAACACACAGACTGTTACACGAAGTATGACTGCTTCGTTTTAGGTACAGTCTGAAATGGTGACAGTATGGCCTAGAATAGCGTTGTCAACTCTTTAACTCATATGTGCAATTGACTTATCACAATGCCAAGATCAATATGGTATCAGACAAACGAAACATGTTCAGGCGATGAACATAGTCGTGTATGGCCGAGACAAACAGAGACAGCGTGAGTCCAACACGCACATACATTTCTACACCTAATTTCTGCATGCATGCTAATCTATGCACGCAGTAAATTGTCTGCACCTATTTGATACGTGGAGCTATGATGATAGATAAACTCGTCAGAGTTCGCAAGGTTATAGGCCGTATAAAGGGTACCCTGTCACATAGGTAGCGGCGACCTTGTTCCACACTGTGCTTTAATGATTAGCTAATTGAGTGTGATAGTATGCTTAGATGCTTAATCCGCTAAGTCATTGGGGTGTGCTTTCAACGGGGGTAGCTCCACTCGACCGAGACATCGTTCTGGAAAAGCGTAATCGGCTCGAGAAGAAAATTCAATAGAGACCACATTTGAGGGACTCAACAGTCTATGATAATTAGAAGCTCAAAGGTTTAAACAATAATTAAGGAAACGAGGACAGCTTTAAAACACCATTCGAATCTATGAGCTTCGTCATACGGGTTCGGCCGAATAAACATTGTGCCGATTTGACAAAATAACTAAGAATAAGTGCTTGATTCACAGATAGTCAATACTGAGACCTATCTAATCCCGTGTTCTTCATGAGATTATCGGATATCCTGGCCGATGGGATTAGCGAGTGGTTAATTTCAGTACCTTTCCAAGATATATCATACGCCTGGCAACTACCGCCGAGACCTAAAGCTCGGCAGTGAGTGTTTTTCCGTTCACAAATTTATTTGAATAGCTGTTCTTGCCGCGTATTTTGCTATCTGAATATTAAGCTTCAATATTTTTATATGCTGTTTGCCTAAATATCAACAGATGGCCTGAATATGACCAGTATGACCATCGGCTTGAGGAGGCCTTGACCTTATCTCTTATATTTATCCAACAAGGACTTTGCGTTGATTGGAAACAAATCGTTATACGTGTGACAGTGTTAGCCTCTGTAACTGGTCTTTAGCTGTGCTAGAGAATATATATATATTATATACTATTTAGCTATGACTCTGCTAATAAGCCCACACCAACTGTTCAAAGACAAATGGCCCTTACATACAAAATTAAAAATGATCTGCCAGGTTTATTAATAATTCCAATAATGACCGTAGGTCTGGAGAAGGATATTTACTATTATAGATCGGGCTAAAAAAATCTTTCCACTTTGCCCAGTCTCGTGTGGCACTTAGAGATGGATGATGATAAGTTCATTAGTTTCCAAATTGAGCAAAAAACACATACTCTTGTTCTTTTTCTAATGTTTTATCTTTTTCAATCTGTTCTTATCATCTTACTGATAAGCAATCTCGTTGTTCCCTAGGCGGCGATGATAAAAATTTATACCATAAGGGCTGCGGCTTACAATTATATTGATAAATTTACTCATATAGTACAAATCTGATATTCAACCAATAAGTCTATTTTTAGCGAAAAGCGAGTATAGTAGGAGATAGCATAATTGTGATTGATTGGCCACACTATACTGGGAGCGTTATTTCAAAACAAATGATTGTGCATCTAAGCTTAGATTTCCTAGACTAGGTAATCTAGGCTTTCAAATGATTTGTAAAATGGCGCATCGTCCAGAACTCTATAAATCCTCGCAAATTTACAATAGCTTGGGAACTGCCGATAAGGAGCGCTTGTACACAAGTATGTAAAAATGATTGTAATAGAACCAACATTGCGCCAGCTAGAGGGCCGAAAGCCCGTAATCAAAATTACTTCAATTTAGGAGCGACTGCTTGCTTCTTAGAGCCCTGTTCTATCTTATCCCTTAGCCCTTTACGGGCCATTTTTGAATCCCTGTTCTCTATATGGCACCTGTCTTTTGGGTCATACCATAGAAGTGGCAGGGGCAAACGAATGCGGCAAACTGAAGCTTTCTGAGAAACTAGGGCAATTTAGCAAAGCCTTTTCGCAGACTGCCGGTAGATCCCTGATGCGTGGATTCTTCCATTCTGACGCATCAAAGTTTAGAACGAGTTCTCTTATTGAAGCTTGCTTGTTGTTCAGTTCCCCTTTGCTACGTGAGAGTAAGGCCACTTGAGCACTAAGTGGGAGAAGCGGGCCAAATTCTCTCTTCAACAACGAAAAGCTCGTTTTACACGCTGCGGTTCGGCCAGTGGTCGTTAGCGGGCTAAAGGCAAAAGAGCATGAAGCCAGCCTTTCTCTGGAGCTCGTGTGAGCAAACTGATATATATATATATATATATATATATATATATATATAGCAATAAGGTTAAACGGTTGTTAACAACAATCCGGACTCACCTAATGCGATGACAAAGCACATCTTCGCAGGAGGACACCGATCAGTTGCCTCAAGATATAATCTTATTTTCTAGTTTGATCGTTTGACGTCGTCAAATTGTTCGTTCGATGTAACGACACAGAAAATTCCCTATGCACTGTGCTTGCTATTTTCAATGAAATTAGGTCGTAATTCTGCCTGTGAAGATGGCAACAGAGGACACGGTAGGAACGAGTTTGTGATAACTTCGGCAGATGAACTCTGCGCTGGCGACGAGCGTAGGTGAGACGTAGCAGTATAACTTGTTCCTCGTGCTACTGCTCCGAGCACAGTCGACGATACAGTATTTCCCGTTACGTTCCCGTGATTATCGACGCTTTATTATCTCGATAAGCCGATACATGGTCGAACACGGCCGATCACAACATCGATTGTCGCGCGGTGCGCACTATAGCTCAACGTGTATCACACTGAGTTCGGCTTTTCGAGAACTACTAGTTAGTATCAGCACTGCTTGGATGACTATAATGCAGTGACGCTGCAATGGAACTTGTCGATGGAGACGATCCGCGCGCTGTGGCGGGCAGGTGGGCGAGCGCTCCTTTCAGACGATCGGATGCGAGGACTGCTGCGCTGGCGTGTTCAAGGAGCCGACACGGCGCAGTCTGGGTGCGTGCGCGCTAGTGATGCAGCGTCGGCGACAACAGTGATGATATTCGTGTATGTTGATCGCGCGGATTCCATGGATACGCACGGCCGCGGCCGCCATCAGCGTTGCCGCTATGCTGTAGGAGCAGTTACGGCAGCTTGTCATCTTATATAGGAAAGAGAGAAGGCAGAAGCACCACAACATAGTGAGTAAACGCCCATGGAAAGTCAACATACCTCGACATAAAACAACAACCGGGGCAGTAATACGTCAGTGACGACAGGTGCGGCGGAACTACGCAGGCAGTTGGTTACCATTCCCGACCAGTAGCTGCTGTGCGGCCAGTGTGTCAACTGGTGCCCGTCACACACTGTCCACAGGCCGCAGAAACAGTGGCCTCGGCCTTATTGGTACAAGGGAGAAGACTTCACCATCAACAAAAGTAGCCGTTCTATTACCTGTGCTGTTGCGTATGCTGCCCTAGTCGTGCTTGCCGCCGCGTTTCTGGACCACACATAATAATAGAAGGCGAAAGCAATTTTGCTCATTCGAAACTGCCTCTGGACGGTGCTGTCCGCGCAACGAAATCTTCAGACTGTTCGCGCTCACAACGCAACGAAGAAAAGGCATCGTATGGCATAGTATAGACGAGCTCGCAGAGAACAAACGCTTAAATCATATAATGCTGAGCAAATGCTGAATTTTTGCGTGCGGGAAACAAAAATGTGTCGAATGGAGTTTCTGGCGGCCTCGGCAAGTCGATTCCAGCTGATAACTACAAGGGAAGATAAATATGATTGTGAACGGGAAAAAACAAAGGCAATTATTCCTAGTTTTTAGATCAACAAATAAATACCGAGCCAGCTGCGACAATAATGAAAACGCTAAATGAGCATTTTTTACGTGACAGGATAATGTGATATACTGAAACTAGTTAAGTTTAGGTCCGACACATGTACATGGATGCAGAAAAAATCAACTGCTAGCCTTTTTCACAGCAGAATTCATAGAGGATAGCATCGAAAGGAAATAGCTTCAAAAATAAACCTACAAGTTTTTTGATTAGCAAAGTTCTTTGAACTTGCAAGGAAATAAAATCGTCGGTCTTCTCTGCTCACCTATACACTAATTTTCTACTAATTATAAGTTAATTCAGGATATCTGTGAGTACTATACAAGTGCCTTTCATAATTTGTGGATAAGATTAAAAAAAAAAATTGGAAACACGTACAATGGTGGATTAGAACACAGTCCCACATATAAGGCCTGATTATAGCCACAGCCAGCAGTGTTATCGTCGTATAAGATTATGACCTTTTTGACATCGATGAAAAGAGGACCGGTGATGCTAGTAGAAAAGTAAAAGCGTTGAGAAACCCCTGGATGTCGAAGAGTTCGTTACTTATAACAAGTTTGTTATTTAAAAAGTTATTAATTAGTATAGCGAATTACTATTATATAAAACAGCACTTATTGATTATATGTTGCTCGTTAAGACCACAAAGGAAACGCAATACGTAAAAACTGCAAAGAACATGATGTCACCGCAAACGATCAGTACATACAGGTGTACTGCTGATGTCGTGTCGCACATAATCCTAAAGAAACCCTGTATGGAAGCTATTAGTGGATAACAACAACCAGGACAACTCGAGTGAACTAAATACGATTTGTCATAAAAATCTACACATTTTACTTTTTGATGAACATGTACAGTATACATAATTTCTTACAATGTCCTGAGGCGTACGTAAACACATATAAACTGAAACTCTGTGCCTACTTGTTTCACTGTTTGTTGCATGAAAATATTAGTACGTCTACGTGTTGTGTGCTAGCTGCTCGAGACGGGTGGCTTTGTCCTGCGACAGTTTTGCTTACGGCCTACTTGTCGACCAAATTGTTCAAGGTCACAGGTACTGCATATGAAGACATCTTTGTCCTATTTCCAATGAGGAACTTCAGCGGACTCTATACTATCTGACAGAAAAGAGATGTTGATCGAGCGACCTCCAGCGGCTCTTGATAGTTCTCTGGTTTTAGGAATCTCGGCCTCACGAGCAGTGAGTTAATATGAAAAAAAATATCAATAGATAATTTGCTGTTAAAAATATAGTGCTCATAGAAAGAAATGGTCATATATTATGCAAGACGGAGATAATTGGGTTAAGTTTAACTTAATTTGTCATTCAACTAGCTGTTAGTGGCTTCACTTGTGGTGATTTCCGTCACAGTAAAGCGCGGATATTGAGTTTAATACATAAATCCTTTAGAAACTTTTCTATGGCGATACTGCCGCAAACGCGTTCTTCATGAAAGGGACAGATGATGATAACAATGCCTATTATGAAAATGACGTTATATATAGCTTTCCTCAAAAACAATGTCGATGTCTGTCTGTGTCTTGAATGCGCCATTTTTTAGTGTAATGTGGAACTAATATACATTGTTTACTTATTTTTTTTATCTGTATCAATTTTTACGTAACAAGTTCCGTATCCGATCGGTGTTACAGTTAAAATTGTCTAGACTATATTGATTCTAATAAAATTCCACCGAAGCTATCGCAATTAATTTACTTCAATGGAACAAACAAACTCTATGTAACGTGCAGAGATTCTGTAGAACCTATTGTATCCGAGCGTAGACGTCAGCTTTTTGTCAGCTGTTAGGTGCCAAACAAAAAACACCAGTGCCATATGTTCGATCTCACAAACGGCTAGCTTGGCATGCAAAATTTCAGAAATATTTTTATAGGATAGATTTGCCCCGGGCAAGCTTTTGTGTACATTCGATAAGGAAACTACTGCTCTGCAATAATCTCATCTAATTCTAATTCTGGTAGATAAAGGGACGCAAGTATAGAAAATCAGATATTTCGAAAGACAAATGAGCTAGAGCATTCAACTATTCTAGTTGTGTTCACCATTAAAAGCTGTTGCATAGCGTACAACTAATCCTGTCCTTCGTCAGCAAAAGTCGCTTTCGTCAAACCACGAATATTGTTGGGATCGCCGTAAATCGGTTTAGCGACGGCCAAAAAAGGACGAGATGCCATACTAAACTTACTACGAGACACCTAACCGCTCTAAATCGCTCAAGGATTTAAGAGTCACCCCGATAACATCATGTCAAGAGAACAGCTCATATGCATACGTATCTGTACAATTGTCAAGTCCCGCTAAATTAAGATAACACACTACTGTCATCGTTGTGTCCGTTTTCATGTCCTTTCTTTTTTATAGGAGGACCCGTGCGAAGTTAACGAAGATTTCAAAATTCTTCTAGCATTTTTCGTTTTTCTACCGGCATCGGTGACTCCTGATGCGACTAGGAATAGCAAGAATTCAAAAATACGTTTTCCTTCGTTTACTAGAAAACAACGGCAAAAAAGCAAAAGCAACTGGTGGCAAATTTCACTCAACCAAACTCCTGGCCCTACTTAAATCCGGTAAGACGTCGGTCGAGTAACCTTTTGCTATATCGCAACCCTCGATGCAAAGCATGCCGCCGGCCAGGGACCCAGGGGAAAGATTCAAGAATACCCTGAGGAAGTCGGCAGCGAAAGAAATCGAGTAGCCACGAGGGGATTGAGAACGTATCAACACACGAAAAAAGTAGCATCGAAACATACGTCATGGAAACTATATCACTCAGAAGGCATCCAATTTCGCAAGATGAAGGCAGCAGGTTGGGAAGCAAACGGACTGCCAGACGTGAACGACACCTCCCTAAGAAGTAAAAATGGGAGTAAATCCAAAAGTCCGGCGGCAAAAGTGAGGATTGATCTAACAGATCTGGAGCAAAAAGCCGAATAATAAGTTTGCATAGGAAACCGCACGCCGAATAAGCAAGATACGAAACTTAAACAGTTAGGGCCCATTGTTTCTAGATGCGAGTGCCACTCATCGCGTACGAGACGGTAAAAAGACCAGGTTCACCCTGAAGGTCAGCCAGTTTTTCGGAGCTTAACTTTACTCGCACGCTACGGTGAAATGAAAGCGGTCGCATCAGTTTTGGCTGTTTACATTCGTAGGCGAAGAATGATGCAGCTCATTGGAGTGCTTTCTTACGGGAACGAACCTCTTGCTAACACATATAGCACGCCAACGTCATGCCAATGTTACCACTGCTACTAGTTCGCCACTATGATTACTTCTTGCGTAAGCATCTGCGTCTCGAACGTTGCAGAAGAAAATTTGGTACGTCCGGTAACAGCGTCTTTCTTGTATCGTTGCTGTTGTTTGCGTTGATACAACTGCGACGTGATACTGTAGCTACGCAGGTTAGAGGACGTCGTCTGGACGGTCGCACGCTTAGAAGGCTATCCAGGCCCGCCTTCTTCTACAACGCGGTCCTTATCCTCTGTCCCAAAAAATGTCGCAGTTGATGCAGTTGTGGCTGATGTGACTCCAGCTGCAGCGATTCTAAACGTGCTATTGATCTTCTGACCCGGGTTTAACCCGGAAGGCTTTTTACCGCTGAGTTGGCTTCTTCCGCGTTGCTCGACCCAGCACTGTTGACTCCGAGTGGATAGCAGGCCCAGCGCACATTTTATCCTTGGATAAAAGTAGAGGCCATAGCTGCAACCACCGTCGCTTTCTGTGGAGCTTACTGTTTTCACGGTTCACTTCCTGGCCAGGATCTGTGTCAAGAATTTGGACTTCTTGCGTTCTACTAAAAGGCCTGAATCCTGCTATACGTTGCGTTCGTCTGAGTGGTAGACGAGTAGGCACGCTGCCGGATTTTCACGCATTCTCAATGAAGAGTACATCAATTGAGTTATAATTTAGAGGAAGCAGTGTCTGTTATTAGAAGTCCCATAAACCGCCAAAAAGGCAACCCAGTCGTCTACTCTTCTTGGAGAAACTTTCTTGGAAAATGGCAACATGACAATTGAATTTGGAAGGCTCAAAAAATATAATCGTCTGTGCCAATATAGATCGGAAATAATACAGCAGAAATGTTGTCATAGGTACCTTTCTTACAGTACAATGTCCCGACCCCAAATCGGGTACTGTAGTACCCGATTAACTAAATTGCTATGAAGTAATATAGAGATGTTACAGGGGCTCTGTAATTTGTTTAGTCAACGAGTTATAGCAGTAAAACGAACCTCTACCGTGTACATGTAGGATTCGATCTCGAACCGTGACAGTACCCGGCCGGGTAATCGTACTTAGCCATTCGCGAAGGATACGTATAGGAGATAAATAATTTGTTACACGGAAAAAAATTACACGCTTTTTTTGCGACGTTTTGCCATTCCTTTTGGCACTCAGTCCTTCAGGGATCATTGGCGCAGACTATTAATGGACCTATATCAGTTGATACTTTACTTCCGAAGTGATCCATCATTCATCGTATCATAAAAGCAATCTTTCCCATTTGCATCTTGATTGACTTCTCAAATATGTCTCTATTTAAAGAAGAAAATTTTTAATGCGTCAAGCGTACCTGTCTTGCTTGCTGAGCAATAGAGGAAATTATCCCTATGTTAGCGGCTTCAGGTATATAATACATAGCTGTGCAAGAGGCATCACCATCAGAACCTAGTCAAAATGAATTGCCAATGACGAAATAAGTCGGGTTTTTAATAAGTTTTTCACTGTTCTCTTATATAGGTTATTGGAAATACTTTAGACAGGGGAATGACCGAAGCAACTGTTGAGAGAGTTCTCTGAAGCAAATTTTTGGTTTGTGTGTTTTTTATGAACATTATATAACTTCATTAAAATTATCCTGCGTTGCAGCGCTTTGTGTACCGTTCAGTATTGCTATATTATTGGGAAGCAATTTATTTTTCGAAGCTTGTTCCCTACTTGTGAACTAATAATTTACTGTTCAGTCATTTATAAATTTGTAATACAAAATGTTTATTGGATTTTTGCCTTAGAGTTGCAATAGCGATACAGATGTTTTTCTCACCGTCTCAACCTCATCGCTTCAACAATGTCAGAAAGAGTTCATTCGATCAGCCTCAAATAAAGCTGTCTACGAGATATTTATAGATACCGATGCACAGAATGTGTACCGCTAAGTTCAATAATCATGAAGGTTCGTACTGATCAATGGAAACCCGGTAATATTGATAAACAGAAACCCAACCCGGCATAACTAAATTCTACCTTTCGACATAGCTATAATGGACGCGCACGAAAATTTGTCACGTCTGATAACTTTGACGCCGTTCCAGTCAATGGGACCTATCCGAACGTAGTTATATGTTCTGTCGACAATACCCCCTATAAAGAACAGCATTTATTCAGTATTCGATAATTAACTCATACTCGCCTAATTACAGCCAATATACTAATTATATATGACTATTCGAGCAGCCGATCAACTTCAATAAAGTTACAATATTCACATATTGGGATCATATATTTACTCCAATATAACATATTTTGATCATAGCTTTCTGGTTAAACAATTTCAATTTTATTTGTATTTACTTTTCGACATGTTTCTGCTAGTCAAGGCGCGGCATTGATTTAAAACGTTTCAAACATCTTTCGCCTGAAATACAATCGAATAGCCATAACTGTCATACACTGTTTGTAGCCTTCGTATTTCCAGTAGCAGCTGTCATGAGAAAGCAGCCTAAAATAAAAACGTAGGAAAAGTACGTCTGAAAAAAAGGCTAAAAATGTATCATATTTTATAAAGATCCTTCAATACTATGGAGTTTGCAAGAATGATATGTCTTGCCTAATCAGCCAAGCCAAATTCCTTTAGTAAACAGCTAATAAAACGCAAAATACGTTTCCGTTAGACATGAAAATTCATCAACGTATGACGGAATAGGCTATCGTCTTTGCGCCTGAAAAATATTTACGTTTTTAAAGTGTCATTACTATAGAAAGAGAGATCAAGCATCTTTTTTTGTTTGAAAAGTCCAATGGCGCTGAACGGGATGTATCCCATACTGACCCAACGCCTTAGGAGACACCGAGCAGCGATCACAGGACTTCGTTTCCCAGTACCACACCAACAATAATAGCAGCATCAGAAACAGCAGCTCGGGTCAACGATGAAGCCGGCAGAAGCAGTATCGAAACTGAATCTGCACAACAGACAGCAATGGCGGCGCTCATTGTGAGTCCCAGCCGAATGGTCAATGAGGAACTACAGGGCGGTCCAGTCGAAGTTGGAAAAAATCAGGCCGCTTCCGAACGGGACTACCCCCACAATACGGCTACAGTGGCATTGTCGAAAGCAAATAGATGAAGAGAGCTATCGCGAAATAAGGAAACGGGCCTTCAGATACCATTGACGACTCTATCGTTACTTGACCTTGCGGCCGCCGCTACTATCATCCACTTTCGCTTTGCAGTGGAACTGGAAAGACAGTAGGATCAGGAGGCCGGCTATGCGAACAGTCAGAGGGGAGCTTAATGCGATAGCTAATGCTAAGCCAGCATGTCATGTACATGCTCGATTTGGTCGAGAAAAGCAGTTAAAACGTTGGCGGGGCCTAAGCTGGTCCGGATTTAACTGACCATGGCACTTAATTAGGTCATAGACAGGTACGCACACGCCTATGGCCACCCATTCCATGGGATTGACGCTGAGAGTACACGTGTGAGTCTATTGTCATGTAGTACGTTCACTGAGGGCATTCGCTCATTGAACTTATAGCGTTCGGGTTT